CTTTTGCCTGTGATTTTCGCTATTAGCTCCTCAAGTTTCTTCTATACTTCTTTTTGTTTCTGCTTGAAAGTTTTATCTTCCTCGTCCATCTCCTTGGTCTGCTTCTTGTATCACAACAAAGAGTGGCTGACCTTGAGAAGAATCAGAATCTTAGAACACTTGTTTGTGCTGATATGAAACCTGTACTTCAACTTGAAAGCAATCATCAGAATAGAGCATGGAAACACTGCATGGTTCAAATTCAGAAAAGGTGTGCATCAAGGATATGTCCTATCTCCACACGTTTTCAATCTGTATGTGGAGCAGATCATCCAGGAGGCTGGGCTTTATGAGGAGGAATGTGGCATCAGGATTGGAGGAAAACTCATCGATAACCTGTGATATGTGGATGACACAACCTTGCTTGCTAAAACTGAGGAGGACTTGAAGTCTTTGCTGCAGAAGGTCAAGGACTATAGTCTTCAATATGGATTGATGCTCAACTTCAAGAAGACAAAGATTCTCACAACTGGTCCAATTGGCAGCACCATAATAAGAGATTGAGGTTGTAAACTATTTCAGCTTATTTGGCTCCACAATCAACACTCCTGGCACCAGCGCTCAGGAAATTGACAGACGAATTGCACTGGGGAAGTCTGCTGTCAGGAACATCTCCAGAGTATTACAGAGTAATGATGTCAGTTGAGAAACTAAGGTGTGCCTGATCCAGTCCATGGTCTTCACAATTACTTGCTATGCATCAGACAGCTGGACAATGACTAAGGACGACATAAGAAGAATTGATGCCTTTGAGTTATGGTGCTGAAAAAGAGTCTTGAGTTATGGTGCTGAAAAAGAGTCTTGAACATCCTATGGACTGCCAAGAGAACAAACAAATCTGTCTTGGAGAGGGGGAAAGCAAGTTTCTCCTTGGCTTCTAGGATTTTGAAGCTCTGTCTCACATACTTTGGGAATGTTACAAAAATGGACCAGTCCTTGGAGAAGGACATCATGTTTAGAAGGTATGTAGAGACAGTGCAGGAGATGAAGATCTAGGATGAAATAGATTTACACAGCAACTGAAGTAGCGGGATTAGGTATGTCAGAGTCAGTGAGACTGGCTCAGAGGATAGGAAAGGGTTCAGAGCTATTAGGGTATCCATGAAAAGCAAGCAATTCTGTGGCACATAACAACAACAACAGTCAAGATCAACCATAAGACAACTAATACACTGTTTCACCTATTATAGCAGCATTAGTGTTCATCTTTACTGCACCATTTTCATTAGTATATCCATATGGCATTATATAATCTACCATAAAAAAAATACCAATTTTTTTTTTAATTCTTAACATATATAACCCTTTCGAATAATTTCCTCCCTTACATTTCTCTGTTCAATATACAAAAACATTTACTAGCCTTCTTATTCACTCTTAACTCAATTCAAATCAGTTCTTCTCTTCTTCTGGAGAGAGATGAAAGTGATCCTTTGTGAGAGAAATGCTCACATATCAAAGTCACCCCTAGAAAAGGCATCAAGTTTTCTTCTGTCATCCTAATTCCTTGTTCAGCTCAAAGATGTATCACAAGTGACTGAAAACATCATGGCCTGAATGAGGCATACCTTAGTCTTCAAATTTACATCATTGCTCTTTAGTATTTTGGAGCTGTGTTCAACAGCTTACTGGTCCAATGTTTCTGATGTCCTGAATGCTGGTACAATGGGTATTATTCAAGCAAGGTGAAATTATGGGCAATTTCAATCTTATCTCTGTCTATCATGAGGATGCATATTGGCCCAGTGGTGAGGACCTATTTTTTCCCTAATGATGAGAATTAATCAATACAGAATGTGTGTGTGTGTGTGTGTGTGTGTATTCTTTGATCTTCTGCAGCAAGTGTTTCGAGTACTCCTCACAGCAAGCAAGGTTGTGTCATTTGCATAATACAAGTTGTTTATGCATCTTCTTCCAATTCTGATGCTTTATTCCTCTTCATAGATGTCAGCTTCCCAAGTTATTTGCTCAGCATATAGGCTGAACAGGTATGGAGAAAGGATACCTCTCTTTCTCACACCCTTTCTGATTTTAAACCATGCAATGTCCCTTTGCTCCATTCAGACAACAGTTTTATCCATGTATAGATTTTACATAAGCCCCTCTCCCTCCCAAAATTGAAGTCAAACAAAGGCATTAAAGGCCAAGAAGGCAGTCCTGTAGGGCATTCACAGCCAAAATAAAAAGGGAAGATCCGCACGTCACCCACCTACCTTCCGGCTTCCTAAGACCCTGAGCCTCCAAAGGCAACCCAAATACCCCCGGAAGAGCGCTCCTAGGAGAAACAAGCTTAACCACTATGCCATTAAGTTTCCCTTAATCACTTGCTCAGCCATGAAGAAGATAAAAGATAACAACACATTTGAGTTCATGTTCAAGACCAACAAGCACTAATTTAAATAAGCTGTAAAGAAGTTCCATGACATTCACGTGCCCAAGTCAACACTTTAATTAGGCCTGATGGAGAGATGATCTATGTTTAACTTGCTACTGACTATGAGACTTTAGATGTTGCAAACAAAATTGGGATCATCTAAACTGAGTCCAGGTAGCTAATTCTAAATACAAATTTTTATCACAAAAAAAGAAAAATATATTACATCCCTGCTTCCATAAATATTACACCCCTCAGAGTGACTCCTCTGTTCTGTAGTCACTATATGGAATTAACTCAACAGCAATGGGTATTGTTAGAGTCAATAAATTATATTCAAATATTCTTCCAAAACATAGGTAATGATGATATTGTTGCTAATGATGTATACCATCAAGTCAGAACCAACCCATAATGACCCTCTCATAACTTTTCAGAGGCAGTGAATTATACAGGTGCCGACTGCCCATCTTTCTCCTGTGGAGCAGCTCGTGGATTTGAACTGTGTGCTGCAATTGCATACCACTAGCTATTATCTCTAATAGAAATGTTTATATAAAGATGAGAAAATTTTTGCATTATACTAAAAGAATGTGGCATATATTAGCTTTAATTCTGTAAAATTTAATCTATAATATAGAATATTTACAATCAAGACTAACAAAAAAAAAGGTAGTTTAGCATGTATGTGAATTAATGACCAAATCTTAAATTTCTGTATTCAAATTCAGTTTGATAAGAATTTTATATAAGTTATTTTGAAATATTCTTATGCTGTAAGTATGCTTTAAATCTGCATAGTCAAACTCATGTAAAACACAGGGTAGCTGCTGGACAAGTCAAGATTACTGACTCATGTACGCCATCAAGTCAATCCAATTACATTGGCCTTATAGAACAGCTTAGAACTGCCCATAGGTTTTCCTAGGCTGTATTCTTTACAGAAACAAATCACCAGATCTTAACCTCACAGATCTGTTGGTGAGGTCAAGCCTCCAACTTTTCCATTAGTAGCTAAGCACTTAACCGTCACCCCATCAGGGCTCTTCATTGACTCACAGTATAATTTTATATGTGATCAACTTTTTTCTATTCCAAAAGAAAAGTAGCTCTGGTAGACTAGTGGGCAAACAGTTGCACTGCCAACCCAAAGGCAACTGATTCAAATTCACCAGCTGTTCCATAAAAAAAGATGGACAATCTCCTCCCACGTGATTTACAGTTTCTGTAAAAAGGGCCAGCTATTAGTTGAATCCAACTCAACAACAATGAGCCAGTCAGGCAGTCATCCCAAAATATCTGGAATTATTCCAATGTAATATGTGTATTTCATCAAGTTCTAGAAGTCTATTTCAAGTATTTACCGAGTGTCTAGCAGGATCAGCTATACAGTTCAATACTTAATCTTACCTTGTATTTATTTCATTGAGAAGTTTCTGGTAAGCTTAAAACCTGATATACAATGGTGCCTGAATAAATATTCAAATGATTGTAGTATGTATGTGAGTACAAAAAAATTTCCAAAGACATAAAAATCTTCACAAAGGTAATCCAATGAAATCTTAAAATGAACAAATTAATGTTTTTAAAACCAAAAATCTCAGATTGTTATGCATCTGAGAGCTAGACAGTGAATAAGGACAACAGACGAATTATTGATGTCTTTGAGCTATGGGGTTGGAGAAGAGCACTGAAAAGCCTATGAATGGACTAAAGAACAAATAAATATGTCTTAGAGAGGGTGCAGCCATAATGCTCTTTGGAGGCAAGAATGATGAGGCTTTGCCTCACATACTGTGACCATATCGCTAAGGAGGAACTATTCCTTGGAAAGGGACATGATTTTGGAAAGGGTGGAGGGTCAGCAAAGGAGAGGAAGACCCTCAACCAGGTGGATCAACATGGTGACTGCCAAGTGGGCTCTAGTGTGTCAGGAAGTGTGAAGTGACACAGGATAGAACAGGGTTCAGATATGTTGTTCTAGGGTCACTATGAGTCATACTTGACGGCAGTTAACACCAACTCAATGATTTTATAGCAACTCGCGTTTAACTATAATGTTAATTAACAGTTGTGTAAGCACTTCTACCTAAAAATTAACCACAGGAGGTTGTAACTGCTGCTTTTAGAAAGGCCTGCTCACCAAGGAGGTCTTGACTGGCATATGGGAACTTGGCTCTTCACCTTACCAGTGAACATTTAAGAGAGTTTCACCCCTAGACTGTTTGTGTAAATAATACAGTTTATGCACAATATCTACTTTCCTCCTAGGAATCGGGATTTTTTTTTCCCTACATGCTGAGCTTTTCTAGGTAGAAATATGGTACCTATGATGCTTCATTTCCCTGCAGCAGTAGAAGTGTGTCCTGTGTGATCCATCAATAGGTGGGAAGCATAAAGAAAGCTGCATATGGGTTTCTCTAGATTCCATATGTGTCTTCCTCGCTACTTGGCTGTAACAAGTCTTAAGCAACAGTATATATCCAAATGCTATGGTTTTGTGATTCTTCCTAGCAAATATCTAAATGCAAGGCTGCACTTAGGCACTAGAAACACAACAGCTTTTTTAAAAAGCCCACGTTGTTACCTGCTGGTATGCTTCGTAGATCACATCAAATAGAAAAGCCTGTGGCATTTCACTTGCTTTGTGTTGGGCACGGTCCAGTGAGTGGTCTAAGCAACCATCGGCAGATGGACTGATGACAGTAGAGACAAGAGGTCGGATCACTCCGGCAGCCTAAGAATAAACAAAGGAGAAAGACTAATAAAACATTTATCTCACCTACAGACTGTTTTAAAGACAAACTATCTCACTTGAGAAAGCAGATGTTACTCATAACTTCAAATAGCTACCTCAAGGAAACATTTGAGAAACTCTTGGTTGAGTTCACAAATCAATCAATTCCGTTTCAGCTTCATAATACTATAGTTCCATCTACTAAAAGGTGGGAGTAATACTTCACTTTTTCATCATAGGTTCAAATCTCCTTTCATCATGGGTCCTTGAAATCAAATACTCCAGAAGGACGCTAAGATAGAGTTGGGCATTCCCCAAAGAGTGTAAGAATGGGGAGAAGGATTATTGTGAAAGAATCCTAATGCATTGCAAATTAATATTTACTAATTTAGTGTGCTTTCAGAAAATTTAATTTACACATTAGATAATTAAGGAAACAGACATATCCCTTCAGATCCCCAAAATGAGCCTCGACAGCAATTCAAATAACAATGAATTTATGTTTTGCTCTAATTCTTGTGAAAAACAGTTCTCTTCAAACACAAGCCTCCATGTCACACTTCCTCGGGCAAAATATCCACTGACTTCCATTATTCTAATGAGAGCTCTGGCTCCTTAATAGATAGATAGATAGATAGATCTAATAAAACTTTAGAAAAAAGAGACACCTTCAAGTCTGAGAATTTTTCTATTATACTTAATGGAATTCCATTGTAATGTCATGTTCAAGGTCATTATCAGACAGCTGTCTTGGTGAATTTGTCTTACTATACTGCTCTTATGGTAGGCAGTTAGCCAAATCTTATACTGATGCAGAAATGTCTTCTTTTTATATATAACTTTAACATGAGTATTACAGCACATTAAGCTAACGCACAGATGCATCAATGTGGTCATGAGGACACCATCATCTGAGCAAGACCGGCAGTCCACAAATTGGTTAACAAAGCAAGTAACTGGCTGGAAATTAAAGCTAGTATATGAGCCAGGCACACAGCGTACAAACTCTATCACCATTTCCAGTGGATCAAACAGAAATTTGGAGCCACAGAATAAAAACAAAGATGTAGAGATGGCCAAGGGTACCACTAAGGGTGTGATGTTCAAGTAGGGGAGAATGAGCAAGTCCAACCAATAAACCCTCTATCTCTCAGCAGGCGTTAAGAGGAAAGGTAAGGGAAAAACCCACAGACTCATGCTGATTTGTAAGTAGAAAAACCCAACCCATGAAAAGACCTTGTAGATGCTATTGGAACTTTTTATCAAGCCATGAAGTGAATAAATATTTAGTAAAGATCATGTTGTCACTGAGTCAGAACTAACCCGTAGCTGAACCTCTAGTAGGTTTGCAAGGCAATAACTAACCTGGGAGGAGACTGGCCCTCTCTCTTCCATAGAGAAGCAGCTGTATCCAAACCATGTGCCTTTGAGTTGGCAGTGCAACTCCTTAACCAATCCCAAAATAGCAGTGTGAGGAACTGCACAAACTCTCTTCCCAAAGAACCACCGCTAACTGGTGATTAGTGCCGTCTTCTCCCAGTCTTCAGTCAGAAGTTACAGATCTGCCAGTGAGGGATAGGCTGCCAGTATCTCTCACAACGAATAGTTATATTTTAGAGAAGTTAGGTTCTAGGCAAATGTGGCTAAGAAGTTTGGGGTTCCCTTACTCCTTGCATTCACATTCTGTAGGATGAAGGAACTACCCTAGTGAAGACAAGCCAAGAATGGTCCAGTGGTAAGAAACTGCAGTGCAATCCCAAATCACAGTTCAAATCCATGAGCTGCATTTGCAGAAGGATGGGCAATCTCTTCTCATATAATTAACTGCCTCTGAAAACCCACTGGAGGGTCAGTTATCAGTCAGTTCTGACTCCATAGCACACAGCAACAAGTGGTAGAAAGAATTGTATTCATGGGGGTAAAATAATCTATAAGAACAGAGAGTAACAACGTTCTCTCCAATGGAACTCACTTTTTTGGAATAGAGTGTGAAGAAGTTCAAGACTAAGAGCATTCTCCAAAGAAAAAAAAAATTATTGTGATTGTTAGCATTAACTAATGGATGGCTGGTAGCTCCAGGAGAGCAAAAGAGCTCAACTATATATAGACCATCTACAACTACAGAAAGAGATATCTAACCAAAGTACCTGTGAAATCAGACCAAAACTACAAGACTTGCTTCAAAACTATATCTAGAAAGCGCCAGAACATATCTCCTTCACAAGTAGAGCAATGGTTAGAAAAGAGCACTGTCAAAAAATTGAGGAATCATCCAGCAATTAATGTAGCCTACTAGGTAGAGATCCCTCATTGCCTAGGGGTAAAGAGTTGTGCTGCCAACCCTAAGGTGCATGGTTCGAATCCACCAGCTGTTCTGTAAGATAAAGATAGTTCACAGATTCCATATGCATTACAGCTTCTGAAAACCTCATGATGGGTCAGCTGAGAGTCAGTTCTAACTTAATGGCAAAACAACACCTAGGAATGATATCAAGAGAAGCAAACAAGAAGACAGAGAAATTAGTGAAATAGCGAAATCTACTGGAACCATTGTGATCCAAGAGTGGCTATAAACATGCCCCAAATCAGAGGTTTCAAAATAGTTAGATTTTATTATATATTTTCAGATACATTGATGGCCAAGTGGCAAGAAGCTGCACTGCAATCCTGAAGGCACATGGTTCAAGGCCACCAGGTGCTCCGTGGGAAAAGGATGGGCAATCTCCTCCCATGTGATTATGTGCCTCTGAAAACCCGTTGAAGAGTCAGCTATGGGTCGGTTCCAACTAAACAGTACACAACAGCATATGTAGATAACTACCACCCCATCCCCCATTGCTGACACTCCGGCAGGTTGTCAGGTTTTAAATCACAGGGGATTGTCTTCTACTCCTTCAGAGCCACTGGTGGATTCAAAGTACCAGAGAGGTGTGGTTAACAGCTCCCTACAGATCATGCCAGCAGAGCTCCCTAGATTTTATAAGATACACTATAAGGTATTTTTCTTACTACATATGTGTGTGTAAATACTTATATGGTGATAAATATAAAGAATAAAATTGTAATGTAGTTAAACAATTCAATGGAATATTATTTGGTAATATGGAAATAATTTTAAAAAAGAATAAAGTTCAGATACATGCTACAATATGGATGGCCCTTGAAAAAGAAGACAATAAAAAAAGTTGAAAATGCCAGTCATCAGTCATCTTTACCACTGGTACCACAGTGTGCTATACTGGGGTTATCTGTGTGTTGCAAGTGACACTACAGGTTAGATTACTAGCAAGATCACCCATGGGATACAAGTGTCAGTGGATCTTAGAGACAAAGACAAACTACAAAGCAGGATGGGCTATCCTCTTGTGAAAGAACTAGTTGGTGAAAACCTTATGAACAGCAGCAGCACATTGTTTGATGTAGTGTTAGAAGTTCTTCAGGTTGTAAAACACTCAACATACAACAGGAGAAGATATGCCTCTTCAAAATAGTTTACCTTAGTGATATCAGCTTTCAGCAAATAAGGCAAATTTATAGGCTGATGTGATACAATGGTCACATTTCTCTTGAGGAGAAATGGCTACAAATACTCACTAGTCACAGGGTTGTGAAATACATAAAATATAAATCTAGGAAAATTGGAAGTTGTCAAAAATTAAATAAAATACATAAAACAAATATCCTAAACATTCTTAAATGGTCTAATGGAATGGTATTAGCCATTTGGAATCAGATACTCATACTGTCTATTATGCCAAGAATGACAGAGAGGAATGGCATTGCATTCAAAATCGAAAAGAACATTTCTAGATCTATCCTGAAGTGTAATGCTTTTAAAACTCATACTCCTAAGTACTCTACTAATAAAAAATCTGTCCAAAATGGGTTCATACTCCAAACTGCAAAGCCAGGGGGAAAAAAAGCTATCTTGAGTAAGACTTGACAGAAAAAGAAAAATTACCAAGAAGTGCAATTGGCTAAAAGGTGTGTTCATTATATATAATGTATGTTCTTTGAGTCAAATATAGCATGGACTGCAAAAGAACAAATTAATCTGTCTTGGAAGTAGTCCCACCAGAAGGCTACTTTAAAGTGAAAATGGTTAAGATTTTTTTTCTCATATTCCTTGAGTGTGTTATCAGGAAAGGACAGCGCTTTAAGAAAGATATAATAATTGCTAAAGTAGAGCATGAGTAAAAAAGAAAATCCTCCATAAAATGGTTCAAGAGCAACAGATATTGTGAAGATGATGTAGGATGGACCAGTGTTTCGTTCTGTTGTACACAAGGTCTCTATGGGTAGGGGCTAACTTGATGGCATCTAACAATAACAACAAAGTCATCTGAAGAGTCATATCTTAGGGTGTCATTTGATTCCTACCAAAATTGTTTTGCAGTTTACTGGGAAGAAGTTAAAAAGATGTCAATATGTCCCATCAATTTAAGAACCACATTTCTAGTATAAGTCTTGATTAGTTGCATTTATGTATTTATAGTTATTGTTGTTGCTATTATTATTACAGTTAAAAACAGAGTATGAGTTGACAGGAAGTAGTACATTGATTTCCTGATGTGCTGCAATCCCAAAGGCATGCAGCTCGAGGCCACCAGCTGCTCCGTGTGAGATGGATGGGCAATCTCCTCCTATGCGATTAACTGCCTCTGAATATGCATGAGAGGGTCAGCTATGGGTCAGTTCCGACTTAACAGTACACAATAAAAAAGAAGCTTTGTAAGAAATTCTGAATAAACAACAAAAAAATTGACAGTGTCTTCATTAGAAAACTCTTAATTATCTAGAGCTAGTTTTCAGGTTGGATAAATCCAGTCTTTCATTGGCTTTGAGCTGTTTTGCAACTTTGTAAATTATAATGACTAATATTAATGCAAAAGAATTATTTTCTATAAACATGCAAATAAAGTCTATCCAAAGGAGATTCAATCGATTCTCTCCCATTCCCCATAATTATCAGAAACTTGTTTATTAATTAATTTTAACATTTCTTTATGTCTTTTGTCCTATTTTGGTGCTGTTTTGGATCAATTGTAACTTCTGTCTGTTTTATTCATTAGTAATGAGTATAAGTACACATGAAGGTCAATTGACACAACATAGTTCTCAAAGACAATGTTCTATATCCGACTTTCATGCTTGGCAACTTAAAAGTCTTAAAAGTTTACAAACAATATTCTTTATAATATAATTTATTTTATTAATAATAATAATAATTTTAAGGAAAATTTACAGATATTTTGGATTTCCATTCATTCATTTTTTGCACTTTTCTCCCTGCCTACCCCTCTCCTCCAGTTTGCCCTTCTCTTTGAAAAGTAAAAGAAAAATTATTTCATTGTTATACATTCCCTCCCCCAAAGTCCACTCTACTATGCAGCTTTCATTCTGGACTCAGGTCATGACAATAATACCTACAAGCAATATTCTAAGATGCAACTATTGGTCTCTCCCTGTCTGGGATAAAGAACTGGGAAGAAAGGCAAAAGTGCATAAAATCAAGTAGTGCAAAGGACTAACAGGCTACATGAACCTCAGCCTCCACAACTCGGAAACCAAAAGAACTGATGGTAATCAGCGATCATTGCTAACTACTGTAAAACAGATCACATTTGAAGATCTTGGATAGTTGTTGCTGTGTACCATACAGTCAGGACCAACCCATAGCTGACCCTCCAGTGAGTTTTCAGAGGCAATAAATTGCAAGGAAAATTACTCATCCTTCCATGTAGAACAAAAAAATCAAAACTATAAAAGGGCCAGTCTTACCAGCAGAAGAGAATAATGAAATTCCCAAGATTATAGCCTTTACTCACCCTTCAAACCTGGAACAAAATTCACTGTTCTCAATTTTCAGCCAAACAATTGCTAGGCCTACCATGAAGGTCAGCTATTGGTCAGTTCTACGCAACAGTACCCAACAACTAGGTGAACCAAGGAGGTACTCACTCCTTGGAATAATCAACCTATAAGATTAAGAAAGGGAACTCTGGAGGCCTAGTGGCAAGAAGTTGCAATGAAATCCCAAAAGCACATGGTTCGAAGCCAACAGCTGCTCTATGGGAAAATGATGGGCAATCTCTTCCTGTGCAATTAACTGCCTCTGAAAACCTGCAGGAAGATCAGCTATGGGTCAATTCTGACTTGATGACACACAACAACAACAGCAAGATCAAAAGAGCAGCACTTTCCCAGTAATAAAAGGCAGGTCAGAGGATTTATGGAAACAAGAATCACAGGGAGGAATGGGAAAGAGTGTAGTTATATTGCGTGCATTATAATTAAGATTGTTGTTGATTATAAAACTAAATTTCATAATATCATAAAACAAAATATGAATAAATGGTTAAATGCAAACTTTCACTCAAATAATGAGTATAAAATAAAATCTTTAATACATGTTCCTTTTGTATTAAATCCATGTCTTTACCTATTTTTAAAAGTATCCTTTAACAAAAATAACATAGCAATAATTCAAAAAGAAACTAGATTTTGAAGTTTAGTGTAAAAAAGTTTTAATACTTATTGCTTTAAACAAGTTTTATAACATAAGAAAATTTTACAGATGCCATTAAAATATATTTGGTTGGCTTTACTCAATATGCATCATTAATCTTATAGACAGGTGCATTTAATGAATGATATATTCATTAAAGTGCATTTAAACTGACAGTCTGATATCATTGCTTTCTTTTTCTCCAGAGCTCTCATATTACATTGTAATAATAAATATCTGTAACAAAAGACAAGTTACATTCTTAAAATCTCTAACAATAAATATTTTCTGAGAGACATTACTGTAATATTCATAGGCCATCATGCCTATTTAAAGTAATCTGGTATTAATTCTGCCGAAGCTAAGCAAATGCTACACTATATAGTATCTGCTCCTTTTTCCCATGTTCTCAGAAATATACTTACCCCATGTTCTTTAGCAGCTGTGACAACTTTAAGTAGGATATCTTCCTCCACAAATGGTCTCACAGCATCATGGATAATCACTACTTCTGGCTTAGAGAGCTTAGAGTTGGACCCAACTTCTGCCAATGCTTTTAGTCCATTGAAAATTGACCTATGTCTGGTCACTCCAGATTCAACTAGTGAAATGCGTTCATGCTGGTACCTCTGGATAATATCCTCCATTGCTTCCATGTTCTCTCTAGTTACTGCCACAACAATGTCCTTTATCCAGCATACCCTAAAAGGAAAGGGCATAAACATTCATGTAACTTGGTTCTTAGGCAATTAAAAATATGCTAATTAAGAAAATTACTACTTACTAGTAGAATATCTACATAGGGAAATGGAACCTTAAAATTACTAAATTTAAAAAAATTACTAAATCAATTCCATGCATTTATGCGAGTTCCAATAAAGAAGCAGTGGGTTTTTGTGGTTTTTTTGTAAGTAAAGAACTAATCTATCATACTAGAGATTGAAAGACATAAATGACTAACAGAGATAACTTCACACTCGATCAGAAATTCCTGATTTAAAAGTTAAACAATCACGATAGTAATAGGTTGTCAGAAATATAGACTGTAACTGAAATATGTTTTTAAATAGATTTTCTTTCCAATAATTTTCTTCAATGGCATAGGAATAACTGCATTTCAAAGGCTGACCCTTCAAGAAGTCCACTGAGTTCTTAGCCAACATTTAAATAATAAAGTTAGGAAGCAAATATAACACAAAAACTTGCCTACTTCAAGGTAAAATCTATGGTTTAAATAAAGGGAAGCTCAAAATTCTAGCACCATCAAGTCAATTCCAACTCATAGTTCTTTCCATCAAGTTTCTGAAACTGGTTAAGGGAGGAGACTTGCCATCTATTTCTCATAGAGCAGCTGGTGGACTTGAACCACAGACCTTTTTTAATCTTAATACACTATGCATTTTGCCACCAACATTTCTTTGCTGTCGAAGGGAAACTATAATAACTAAATTTATCTGAATATAAATCAGTATTAAAAACAGTAGAAAAATAAATTTCATGAAATGCTAAAATATATTGTTAAAATGTTACATGTTAGGGGAGCTCTGGTGGCCTAGTGGCAAGGAGCTGCAACTACAATCCCAGAGGCTCACGGTTCGAATCCACCAGATGCTTTGCTGGGAAAAGGAGGGACAATCTCCTCCTGTACCAGTCAGATCTGATTTGACGGTACACTCACACAAAAATAATAAAACAAAAAAAAATATATACTGTAAAAAAAAATGTTACATGTTGTTGAGTATGAATTGAAGGGACCCTATGAACAGTGGGTCTAAACCCTCTATCCTGTACCAACTTCATCATCACTGACCCACTAGAGAGTCCTACAGAATGTAAAGTAATGTGATTTCTTCTGTCAAACATGTACTTAACAGGAGACCTACTGACCTACCAGACTGAAAACATAGGCATATCTCATTTTATTACATTTCTGTTTATTGTTCTTTGCAGATTTCTTTTTTTACAGATTGAAAGTTTGAGGCAATCCTGCATTAAGAAAGTCTATTTGCACTGCAATCCCAAAGGTATGCGGTTCAAATCCACCAGATGCTCTGCTGGAAAAGGAGGAACAATCTCCTCCTGTACCAGTCAGATGTGATTTGATGGTACACACATAAAAATAATAAAATTTAAAAAAAAAAAAAGAAAGTCTATTTGGTGCCATCTTTCTAATGGCATGTGTTCACTTCATATTTCTGTGTTACGTTTTGGTAATTTTCATATTATCTCAATCTTTTTAGCAATGTATATTTAATAAATTACAGTACAGTGTAAAACATAGCCTAGAAGGATGTGGAGTCTCCTCCTGTGTGATTTTCTGCCTCTGAAAACGTGCTGAAGGGTCTGCTATGGGTCAGTTACAAATGGACGGCCCAGAGCAATGACATACACTGAAAAACAACAAACTTCTTGTGACTAGCCTTATTGCAATATGAGCTTTACTTTGATGATCTGGAACTGAATTCCCAGTATCTCTCAGTTATGCCTGCTTCACACTTTTGAGTTGGCAGAAATGGCAGCACAATGCCTTTCCAGCTGTGCTGCCAACCTGAATGCAGGCAGTTTGAATCCACCAGCTGCTCCACAGGAGAATCTCTTCCAGTGTGATTCCCTGACTCTGAAAACCAGCTGAAAGGTTAGCTATGGGTTGGTTCCAACTCATTGGTACATAACAACAAGTCACTAGGGCTCCCTTTAAAAAGTTATTGCCTCAGAAACCCGACAGAAGGTCACTATGGATCCGATCTAGCTGGATGGCAGTGGGTTTGTGTTTTTATACAAATTTTATTTTTAAATTATTTCTCAACCAGCCCAATAATCATATCACTTAACTATTTCCCAACTGTAAAATATCTGACATAAAAGGCCTAAAATAACAATTCTTACATAATATTTTATAGTTCAGAGGATAACCTCAAGAATCTCCAAAACAACTCTGTACATTTGGTTATTATCCCTACTATATGTATGAGGAACCTTAAAGTCAATTGCCTTGGAAAATATATCTACTTGCTGGAAACTTGAGCTTCTGTCTCCTCCCCAGTTCCCAGGCCTGTAACTATACTTGACTGTCTCCCAAGTGGCATTACAAGTGTTCCCTAGCTGGTCAGCAGAACCACTTAATGAGGACTTTGTATTCTACAATCAATGGACCCAGGATGAGATTTTTCTTAAAGGCTAAGGAATATGTGTGCTAAGAATTGCTTTGTCTACTGTATCTTACACAATGCCACAACAGATAATCAAATGGCAAGACATAAAACTACCAACTTCTTAGCATAAAATATATTTATTGGGAAGGGCAGACTCTTATTCTCAGCATTAAGAGCTGTTCCCTGAAGGGATAATACCACATCCTGTCTTAGATCCATATCTTTGTATGTGCTGCTTCCTTTGCTTTTCAACACTGTCTCCATCCGTATTTCTATCCCCACCCACTCCAGGTTAAATCCTACTTGCTTTTCAGCTTGCAATTGGGATAGGGCTCCCTACAGAAAGTCACCCCTTACTGCCATTATGGGTGCAACATCTTCTGCTGTCTACTTGCAGAATGTTTCATCTTATCACATTGCTTATTAAAATCAATTGCTCTACCCAAGACTTGCTACAGAATCTGATCAATTTCTAATATGTATTAAACACTTTCTAGGTGTCATGTACTACATATGGTATTTTGCCTGTAATTTCCCACTTAATAGTTAAATCAGCCTTATGAGGTTACTGTTACCAACAAATACATAATATTATCAGATAGTTGTTGTTGTTGTTCTTATTTGTCTTCAAATCATTTGCAACCCATATCAACTCTATATACAATAGCTCTGAACCCTGCCCTATCCTGAGCCAGTCTAACTGACTGACATACTTACCCCCATTACCCCAATTACTGGGTTAATCTACCTCATCTGGGGTCTTCCTATCCTGTGCTTTCTTTCCACCCTTCCAAGCAAGATGTCCATCTCTAAGAAATGGTCCCTCCTTGCCACATGCCCAAAGTGAGACAGAGCTTCAAAATCCAAGCCTTCAAGGAGAAACTTGGTTTCACTCTCTCCAAGACAGACTTGTTTGTTCTCGTGGCACTCCATAGCATGTTTGATACTCTTCATTATAACTCATTATAACTCAAAGACATCAATTCACCTGTCATTCTTAGTCATTGTCCAGCTCTCTGAGGCACAGCAAGTAATCACAAGACTATAGCCAGGATCCGGTGCACCTTAGTCTCTAGATAGACACTGTTGCTCCTCAGAACTCTGAAGAAGTCCCTGACAGCAGATTTTTCCCACACAATTCATCTTTTGGTTTCCTGATTGCTGGTGCCAAGAGTGAGGACTATAGAGCTGAGCAAGCTTAAGTTGTTAAAAGCCTCAATCTCTTTTCCATCTATCATGGTGCTGCCAATTTGCCCAGTGGTGAAAATCTTTGTCTTCTTGATCTTGAGCTTCAATCCCTGAAGACTAGAGTCCTTGACTTTCTGCAGCAAGCATCTCAGATTCTCCTCAATTTCAATAACCAAGGTTGTGTCATCAGCATATCACAGGTTGTTGATGAGTCTTCCTCCAATTCTAATGCCACATTCCTCCTGCATAAAATCCAGCCTTCCAAATTATCTGTTCCACGTATAGATTGAAAAGGTATGGAAACAGGATGCATCCTAAATTCTCTCCTTTCCTGATTTTGAACCAAGCAGTGTTTCCTTGCTCTGTATATGTTAATGATATATTATTCTGACATCTTTTTAAGCTTCTTTTAAAAGATAAATAGCTATGGATGAAGGTGCAATCAAATCACAGAATGTTTCCCTAAAGTCTTTCCCCAAATGTATTTACTCTGTCACTTTTATTAAGGTATTTTTAAGTGACAACTTTAAAGTTATGATGTTAGTTTTGATAAAAATTGTATTTCTTTTTTAATATAGGTGAATTGAGAGGAAGAAAGATGACATGGTAAGTAGAAATAATGCTAGAGTCATTTACTCATTGCCATCAAGTCAGAGCCTTAAATTGCATGACAGAAAGGGAGCTCTGGTGGCCTAGTGACAAGACACTATGCTGCAATCCTGACGGTACACAGATCAAATCCATCAGATGCTCTGCTGGAGAAGTAGGAGCAAATGAGAGGGGAGTGGTTCAAGAGCTGCTGGTTAATTAGAACACCAGAAAGGTTGCGCCTTTGGTGTAGAAGTGGAACTTCCTACAGAGTAAGTCAAGAGAATTCCCTTTTAGAGAGTAGTCATTCAAATATGTGTTTAATAAATAAGTAAATGAACTAATGGATGAGGCCCCAAAAGTAAATATCAATTTTACTGAAATTCTTTAAAAATAACTAGAAAGCAATTCTTTCTATTCCATCAAATAGAAAGGAAAATTACCAAGCAGTAACTGCATTAAATTTGGTATCAAATGATATCAAACAACTGTATAATCTGCTAAGTTAATATCACATTTTAAGTCAATGTTGCTCACACTGCAACTGTATCTCACATCGTACATTTCAAAGACCATTAATATATCATGAAAAGAGTTAAGTTCGGACAATATTTTTTTGATAAATGAGTTAGAACTAACAAATTAGAACAATTAGAATGCCCAGCATGGAACAAGAATAGGTTGTTTTAATGGAATTTCCTTCAAATGTGTATGTTGGTGTCTATGATTATAAATAGGTGTTTACATACTGAGTCATGATGGAACTGCTAAAAG